CACCAGGTGGTTGGCGAAGGTGATGGCGATGACGGCCTGGCTGGTGGGCTCGATGATCAACAACGACGTCCACAGGCGGATGAACGCCAGGAAGCCGCCAAAAGACTCCAGGATGTAGGCGTAGGACGCCCCCGACTTGGTGATGGTGGTGCCCAGTTCAGCGTAGCACAGCGCCCCAACCACGGAGAACAAGCCTCCAATCACCCAGATGACCAGTGACAGTCCGTAAGACGCGCTGTAGATCAGAACCCCCTTGGGCGAGACGAAGATCCCGGAGCCAATCATGTTTCCGACGATCAGGCTGACTCCGTTCAGAAGGGAAATTTCCTTTTTCAACTGCATGGTCTCCTTCGGCAGCTCCGAAGTTTGGGAGGATCGACCTCCGACCACATTGGTCCTTGTGGATTCTTCCAGGTCAGCCATGGTTCCAGAACCTCCAGAACCACCTAACACAGAGAAAACAAACAACGGGGGGGAGTTTACTGAGCAAACGCCACCAGAGTCCTTCTGTTGACTCACTGCAAAAAGTCTGACCGGGGGCCTTATTTTGGACCACAAAGGGCTTTAAACAGGTGTTTACAACAATGCTAACAGACACTGCTACACGGATGTCGATCGAATGTTTGTCTGTTTTGTTGACCGTTTCCTTGTCATTTAATTGTACCTTTTAAACTAAAAGGTTCTTTAACAAAAAAAAAAGTCTCCTCTCACCGGAGAGAACCAACACGAGTCAGCAGCAGACTGTTGTCCTGATATTCCCTCTCCTCTTCCTCCTTCTCTCTGTCTCCCCGACGGTAAACACCGGTAAAACACGTTCGTTCTTCAGCTCCTTTGTTCTCCCCTGTCCTGACCGGTGTCTGCGGAGACACCGTGTGTCCCCGGGGTCCACAGGAGCAGACACACCAGCTGTCAGCAGGTGTGTCTCCGTCTCTCTGTCCGTCTGTCTCACCTCTGATAGTTTCACCGTCACATGAGGCAGCGGCTCCTCCGTCACTCCTTCATCATCAGAGCCGGTAAACAGCTGCTGATGATGGAGGAAGAGGAGGAGGAGGAGGAGGAGGAGCTGTGTGACCAGGGGCGTTACAACAGCGCTGACCCCCCCCCCTCCTTCCACAAAAACACATTCAGCAAAAACTCACGTGCTTCCACAATGGACACACCATTTATAAAAAAGAATTCTAGTAGTAATGTTACAAGAACAAAATGAAACATTATTAAAAAAAAAAACTTTTAAAAATGTTTTCAAGGAAATATAAAAACTCTAACAAAAAATGTTTCAAGTATATATAATATGTAATAATTCTTACAAAGAATGTTTCAAGTATATATAATATGTAATATTTCAAGTTTATCACAATATTTACGAGTAATTTTACCAGAGAAAATATCATTAAATGATGACAAAATTGTCAATATTTACGGAAATTTATTTTTTGGGCTTATGACAAAATAATAACCCTCCCCCAAAAATTATAGGTTTTTGGTAATACAGTTGGCTTCTCATCTTGTGAGAAAAAAAATATTTATCAACAAAAATTGTCAAATGTTTGAGAAAAATTTTTAAGGACCAAAAAAAAAAAGAGTCACTCTTTTGTTGTGATTTTACACTGAAACATCAACCAGGAAGTTGTGATCTCTCTAAAAAGTCACAAGTGATAATAATAAAGTTCAATCCTCAGGTTTTTGGACTGTGGGCGAAAACACACACACACACACACACAGACAGAGCAGCAGCTAAAGGTGGGGCTCAAACCAGTGACAGACAAACCCCTCTTCCCTCCAAACACCAGTGGGAAACATGATGGGAGACGACCCAAAAAAACCCCTCTTGTAACCCACCTGAGGGTCGTGACCCAGTCTTTGGGAAACAATGCCATACACCATGTGACCCTGTTAGTTTCCATTTTTACACCTGGATTCTCAAAATTCATTCTTACCTGGTCAACGTTGGTGTCACCTGTGACGTTTGAAAAGAGCAGGGAGTGACGAAGAAACCACGTCTGAGTGAAAGGACAGAAGACAAAACCCTGGCTGTGGACAGATGAAAGGCAACGTTCTTAGGAGATAAAAGACGTGACGTACTCTGACATGGAAGTACTGACCAGAACACTTAGGTATGGGACGGTTTGACTTTGACTGTGTCCATTTACACACAGTCCACAGATCTGTATGTTGTACAGTTCAGGTGTCTCCTCGAGTGTGGGCAGCGACCCGTTTTGTGGGGTGGATCGCTGAGACATTTTGAACTCATCGTCGTATCTGAGCAGTTAAGAAACGCTGGCTTCTCTCCAACGTGTGAGGGCAGCGGTGAAGCCGACTGGTCTGCTGGTGTCAGGGACACACTTTAATTAGAGTGGTCATGTCACAGTCAGAGGACAGCGCCGCCCTGCTGACCTGCGGGTGACGTTGTTGTTACGTGGGTGTCAAAACGCACCAGTGTCAAAGTGTTCTGTACTCTTCAAATACATGTGGTACTGCACATACTCTGCACATACTGCAAAGACCTGGCAGGTGCAGTTTCTCACAATACTACAGTACTACAATATAAAATACTTTGGATCACATGACCAACCGACAAAAGGATGAAACACCATCAAACAGCTGTAACATGTAACAATGTTTATAATAACAATATTAATATATTCAATAAAAAATAATGAATGATTTTGAAATGTGCCGTAGTACTAGTAATAAAAAACAAAGATAATATTATTATATAATACTACCGTATTAGAAAGTAGACATGGTAGTAACAGTACTGCAGTAGTACGGTTACTCATTTTTTATACACAAACACTTGTGGACTTGGGTCCGGAAGGTTTCAGGTTCGAGTCCACCAGCTGCCAAGTCACCACTGAGGTGCTCTGAGCATCCCCACACACTGCCCCCTGCTGACTGTGGTGATGGGTTAAAAAGCAGAGGCTCGGTTTTGTTGTATCCTGGTGGTACAATGACAATACAGACCATAGAATAAATAAATATAAACACAAACACACACATAAAGTCATTCCTTACATTTTCTAAGATAAAATGTATGATTTTTAATAATCATCTTCTTTCTATTTACATCCAAAAATATACAAACCACTGAAATGAACATTTTCAAACATTGGAATCATCACAGTTGAATTAAACAAAAATGTATGGAACAGTTGGACAGAAATGTCAATTTAACTGGCTATATATATATCTATGTCTATAGACATATATAGTACATAGCTTTACTATCACAACATGTGCAGTTCACAGCTGTGGTGCTGCTCTTTATGGAATAAAGAATTCTATATCATTCTATAAAATTCTATTTATGACAAGACAACTAAAGTGCTTATTTAAAAGAAGCTAAAAAGGGTTTACACAGTACAACATAACAAAAGGCTTATCTATGGTCCAACATAACATATGTAATAGATATATACATATATGTATACTGTATATATATATACTGTGTATACATACAGTATATATACACACACATACATATATAGTATATACTGCATACATATATATATATATGTATATATATATATATGTATAATCACAGCTCAGTATCACAGCATTCATAAAAGGTTTTTGGACATGAACTTCTTTGTTGATCAACTAGATCCAGTCTAGACAACAACACAGACTCCAGGTCTGAGTTCCTGAGTCAAGGCTGCATTTCTTCCTCGGAGAAGAAGAATCAACACAGTAGCTTTATCTCTGTTTGTATTTGAACTGAAGACCTTGTTTGACCGTCAGATGACCGACCGTCAGGTGACCGACGTGACTAAATTCATCCGTTTGTCTGCTCTGCCTGGAACAGCAACATGTCACATGATCATTATTATTTACACATGAGTCTGAATGTGTCAGGCTTTAAATGAAATGACCTTTACATGAACTACTGCAGGATGTAGAAGGTTCCACCTCAGAACACTGAAGGTTCTAGATTTTTGTGGTTGGACTTGTTTGGCTCCATGTTTTTTTTATCACCAGAATTAAAAAAAAAAAAAAGATTAATGCCCAAAAGAGATTGGTGGTTACCATGGTTACCGTGGTTAAAGTGAATGTGTATTAACTGTCTAACTTCAACCTGAATGAATCCAGCAGTACTTTTATCATTGAGGTCCAGTATGGTTCTAGTTTTACTACACGTAGTACTTCATGTAGAACCTGTACAAATACAAACTTTATCTTTGTGTGGCTCAGTTACAGAACTGATATTGACCCCACGTCTCAGCTGAAACCTGACGTTTTTGTCAATTGAACTTTTTTAGCTGCTGGCTGAAGGGAGAAGAACTGAGGAAACACTCCAACGTCAGTGCGGACTAAGAATTACAGCCGAGTCACAGTGATGTACGAAATGTCTCAGCAGTTGTTCTGCCGTGACAACAGAAATGATGGGTGAGTTTTCACTGCTGCTCAGGGTCACGTTTAAATTAACTGGTCACATTTGAAGACACAGCAGTATAATAATAATAATAATAATAATAATAATAATAATAATAAACCAAGGACAGGATGGTGTTGTCACAGTGATAACCTGACTCAGCTCTTCTCCTGCAGCATGTGTTGTCTGGTGGATCCAGTGCTGTTGCTGCAGAGTGTAGAGGCAGCTCGTTTCCTCATCCACTCCAGCATGTAGAACCGCAGCGCGATGAAGAACCCTGGTGGAGAGAACAGGAACAAGAACAAGAACTTTATTCCACCAAAAGAACCATTGTTTAATTTTACCATTAAAATCAAAGTCAGCCTGAACACCACAGTAATAGTACCGTGTATGAGGGTTCCACTGTTTGTAGTTGGAATTAGTACCTGGAATAACATGGAGAAATGGCGTTTCCACAAAATAGACTTGGAGAACCTCAAACAGTCACTCACCTACAGCTGAGGACATTTCTGAAGAACAAGCTACAACTGTCCTGGTACAGACACAACAGCGAACGTTAGCTACCAGGACTGGGTTTGTCATTGTGACACACCACTGCACTCCACATTTCTGGGTCAGAAACTTAAGAAAGTTAGGTTTGTCATTGTGACACACCACTGCACTCAACCAAATGTGACCTCTGCTTTTTACCCATCACCACCATCAGCAGGGGGCAGCATAAGCACCTGCTCAGAGCACCTCAGTGGTAACTTGGTGGACTCGAACCTGAAACCTCCTGGACACAAGTCGCTTCCTTAACCACTGAGCCACCACTGCCACCTTTACTCACACACTGATAAAACTTCTCATCATCCTTTTGATCACCCACTGTTCTCCACTGTTACACTGACTCTACTTGTTTTTGACAAATAAAGGAAAAGCTCCTTCAACAACAACAACAACAACAACGTACAAAATGGTGTCAGAAGCACAGACCTTGAAAAGAGGTGAGGAAACAGGAGAAGAAGAGGACCAGGTCTGACATGAATTCAAAGAAGGTCAGACCCCAGAAGGTTCCAAAGAGGCAGCTCAGGCCCCAGATGCTGAGGAAAGCCACCTGGGTCTGCTTCCATTCGTCTCTGATGCGGATCTTCCGGTAGACCAGGATGAGCATCACGATACCAGAGGAGACCAGGAGGAACACCGATGTGATGTTGGTCACATAGTGAGCCAGCAAGGCCTTGGTCGAGTCTTTCATCCAGCACCTGCTCGCCACAAATTAAAGTGAGAAAAGCAAATAATCAAATGTCATAATAATAATAATAATAATAATTGCCCCTTATTTGTCGCACAATGTGGACCTCCACAGGAGGCGCCATTAAGTACGTGGCTGCAACACACAGGGTGCCAGATGGGAGGCACCATTAGAAATATGTGGTTAATTTGGGAATCAAACCCAGGACTCTCTGCTCTGCACTTGCTGTGGATTCGCACTAACTGCTTCACTATGGAACCACAAACAACATCTGTGTCTGCATCAGGTATGGGCCGGAGGCTTTTGAACTGGTCCACAGGTGCACAGGACATCACTGGCCTATAGAGGCCGCTAGAGCACAATAGTGGGTCTTTAACTAAGGTAGGTGGACGACCTGCTTGTATGTGGGCTCCATCTAGTGGTTTGCAGTGGAATCTCACCTGCTGCGGGTGTGTGTGATTTCAGAATTGAAATGCAGTTTCAGTTGTAGTACTACTACTTCATTGTACAGTGTTTGTTTGTCTGATAGTATAATGTAATAAATGATACACTTTTCTCTCTGTGGCCCCGGGGGCTGTTGACCTCTACCTCAGTCTCTCAGGGCTTACATTTGGTACGGGTTGGAGAGGTCATCAGCTGAAAAGACTTCTCTCAAGCCGTAAACGTCGCCCACTGCTACCAGGATGATGACGGGAATCAGGGGCAGACCTGAGGTTTGATGAAGATTTGAACGTGGTGTTAAACAGAACCGTCCAACTGAGACACTGATCTGATGAAACCAATCAGCTTCAAGCAGCAGCCATTTTAATGACTAGTTTTAACGTGCTAGCTGAATACTGTCAGGGTTTCAGACAAAGTTCTAAATACAATATTTGTCACCGTACTCACCGAAGCCCAGCAGGTTCCAAATGTATGGTTTTGGAGAAGGTGTAAAAACCACATACACCAACCAGAAGGTGTGGAAAATCTCTATACCCATCCACGTGAAGGAGCTGAGCAGGCTGTAATGCATTCCGGCCCCCACCCAAGCACACAGGGCCTCGCCCCCCAGGTTGGCCAGGACACCAGTCAGGAAGAAGAGAAGATGAAGAACAGCCAGAGACAAAGCCAGACCCAGGTGGATGGGAACTGACTGTTCCTTAGACTGACGGCTGGAGGGAGAGGGGAGACGGGGGGATGTGAGTCGGAGGGCAGGACGGGGAGCGGGGGGGGTGAGAGAGGGAGGGAAATCAGATACTCTGTATACTACAGTACACTGTCAGAGCAGTACTCTGTCTACTACAGTACTCTTTACCTCTTAGTGCAGAGAAACACGATGAGAGCAACACAGCTGATGAAAGAGGCAGCGCAGCCCAGAGAAGTAATGACGGTAAGAGCCATGAGATGGCGCACTGGTCGAGGCTGCAATTCCTGCAATTGAACACAAAAAAGCATGTACCAGCAGGGGGAGCTCGTCTCAGCAAATGCCTTTTTTTCTTCAATTTAAAACTTTGCGTCTGAGGTGTGTGTATTCATTCACCGTCTCACACACGTTTTTGCAGCCTTTAATTTTTAATTTTTTTTTTTACTAAAAAGAAAATCCAGAAAACCAGATGCCGACTGTTACACCACACAAACTGCATAAGGTAGAGAATTTGTTTGAGTACTTAAGAATGCAAAAAAGGTGGTGGGAGTGAGTACACATATACAGTCACCTCTCCTCTCAAATATAAAAGTACTGTGTCTCACCACCAGCACAGAGAAGTAGGTCAGGTGGTTACAGAAGCACTCTGTGTGTTCGACGCCTCGCTGGCTTGTCACACATCCCTCTGCTAACCACTTAACATGCACAGGATCTGCAAAAAGAGCAATGACAAAATACACAGGAAGTTGATGCATCAGTATGTGAACATTTATAAAGTTTGTCATCTTTTTCCTTTCTTTTTTTTTTTTTTTACTTTTCCTGGAGTCCCAGGCCACACACTTCCTCGAATGTTCTTCCTGGAAATAATATGAAGAAAAAGTCAGGTCAGTTTCAACCTACGGTAAAACAATCACGTGACCACGCCCTGTGACTACGCCATACTTGTATGGCGTCATGGTAAAAGCTGATCCTGATTGGCTCAGACAGATCAGCGATGATCTCATTCTCCACAGTGATGTCCACCACCTCACCGAGGATCTTCGTCTCCTTGTGACCGTCCTGGAACATTGAACACCACAGCGACATGACGTTAGCATATATTGAGCTCTCCTTCGTGTGTTAGCATAGCTGGAAGACCTGGATGTCGGAGCGGAGGGAACAGAGGTGAGTTCACGGAGAACGTTACCTGGAAAAAGGTGGTGTTTGTGTGGAAGGTCACCGCGACCTTAGTGGTGGTCCTCATGGCCAGTTTCAAGGCAGGCGGTAGATGGACGGTGATGGTGGGTTCTTCATATTCACCTCGACTGATCTGAAAGACAGCTGGGAGTTAGCGCTGAAGAACAGACACCCGTGGACGGAAGCTCCACAGACGACAGACGACAGACACCATTCACCTCCACTCTGCTGCTGTGACGTCAGTAGATGTTGGAATCGTACTATGACTACGGTTTATATTGTTGACTGTGAGTTGTTCGTAGTACACAGTACAGCTGTAGTGAGTAGACACTGTGTACTGCAGACTGCTGGGTATTTGCTGTGTAAATGTCTCTCGTGGTTTGAAGAGAAAATGTCAGTAATGTCAGTGAAATGCTGCCACCAGGATCTTCCATGTGGTCAACACAGAAATGTTTAAGTGCAGCGACCTCTACTGGCCTGACCCAGAACACCTACTCATGACCTCAACCCCCCGGCCCCGTATGTTTGGTACCATGTTCATTGACGTTTTCATTGATTCTGTGCTTTTATACTAATTTAAGTGCAGCGACCTCTACTGGCCCTTTTCATTGATTCTGTGCTTTTATACTACAGAAATACTTTTTTTTAATGTAGTATAAATACAGTACTTGTACTCACATAAGAAAGATGTGATGGCACACAGTAGCAATGTACTGTAGTACAGTTTGAAGTTAAAAGACAACACACACCCCCCGCCCCCACACACCCCAACCCTGAACAGGATTAAACCTATAATTATGTTTAATCCTCGTCAGGATTAAATATTGTTAAATATTATTAGAAATGACTGTTTACAGTACTGCAGTAGAACTACGGGCTTCTCTCAGAAACCTAATGATTTCCACACAGAGTGTTTACTTCAAGACTTAAGTAGTAGGATTCAGTGCAAATGTATTACAGTACTAAACCTTTGTAGTAAACACTCATTTAGTTTTTTTCTTCTTCTTCAACATTCAGTCTTTTTCTCTCAGCTCTTACAGGAGATGACAGGTCGTAGGGTCTGGAATCTTCCAGGTCGATGTTGAAGCTGACGGGGATGAACTGCTCAGCTCTGTGTTCAAGGCTGGACACAAACACAAACATGCAGGAGATTAGACGGCCGTCGGAGAGGTAACCTTCACCCTGACACTAATTTAAAGTCTCACTTCTTCGGGATGACTGTACTTTAAACTTCACAACATTCAACTTAACAATTAGGACCAAGTCACAGGAGGAGGACAAACACAGCCTGTTCTGAAAAAGGAAAGGAAAGAGCAGAGGAGGTTACCTGCTCAGATGGTTGGACTGGAGGCTGGTGTCTCCACGCAGGGTTTCTGAAACAGTTTCATCCGGTTTAATTAAATACAAAGCCTTTCATTGGACATTGTTTTAACTGTAAATGAGCAGAAATGCTCCTCACTGCAGGGAACTCTTTCTCCTTTGAAGGTGTAGCCACTGAAGGTTTCCAGAGAGATGACGTCTGTTCTGATCATTGCCTTCTTGATGCCGTGAACCACTTCAGGTCCTATGGAGGAGCGGGACAGGTCAGTGCAGCAGGAGCCTTCAGGGTGGGCTGACCTGCAGAGGCTGAAGTTCTGTTGTTTGACCTGGACAGAGGAACGATTCAAAACGAAACAAACTTTTGGTCAACACCGAGCAGGGAGACCCTTAGGGGTAGGATGAGAGCACTGCAGGCACGTCATGTCTGTAACCTCAGAGTGGAGTCATTTGTCTTTGTGGAAAGAGAATTAAATATTTACTACAGTAAAAAGCATCGTGAATATAAAGTCATTTAAAAACTGACTTTCTTTCTTTGTTGTGAAGGCAGAATATTGTTGTTTATACTGATTTTTCTTCAAATGAAAAACTATTTATTTGGTATGTAGCCCTGTAGAGGGCACTCTCCTCAGTCGTGTTTCAATGTTAGCAGCCTTCCTCTCCTTCTTCTTCCCTTTCTCCTCCTCTGTGCACTGCTGCTCACTGTCAGGCCGTCTCACCTGCAGGATGAGGCGATCCAGCGCTGGCTCCCAGTACAGACAGAAGTTACTCGCTTTCTCGTGACCAAGGCCATAATGGTCCAGTTGAATCCCATTGAAGCGCCGACACTGAGCGGTCACCTGACCGTGGATGGACAGAGTCGTCCTGTTGGCCGAGACCGAGACGTTAGAACATCCAGGGGAGATGTTCACGTCCAGCTGCGGGGAACCTAGGTCATGGAGCCAAAGGCCACAAAACGTCCAGTCCATGTCATTTTCACCAGAACCTGCAGAACAGAAGGGGGCGCCGTGAGTCTGTGCATTTCAAAGTCCAATATGAAAACATCAGGTCATTTTGGTGCAACATTTCTAATTACGAAAATGTTTTCGTGAACAAGAAATCATGTCGTGAGTGCAAGTGAAACTGCACTGGTGGGGAGATCTGTTTCCGTGTGCGTCTGCACATTTAGGAGACAGATGTGAGTCTGTACTGACCACAGCTGTGGTTGAAACAATCAGTCAGACGAGTGCAAAAACATTATGACTGCACAGACGTTTCACATATTGAAAAGTAAAAAAGCCAACAAAAAGTATTTTTTTCCCGCTCAACATTTAATCTGACATTTTTGTTACCGTCGTTCACTTCATGCGTTTTAATCCTTTAATTGGAACATCAAACTTGTAGTTTTTAATAATATCAAACTCATGGTATTATTTTGGCTCCTGACCTGACATTGTGGATTAGCTATAATAATTGTCCCCTGTTGCTAAACTTGCCCTTGTACTAGTACTATTAGTGCAGATATGCACTTATATTTAAGGGCTCATCAATGACACACTGGGACCAGCTAACAGTAGTTTGCAGAAGTCCGCGAACCACAAGTTGGAATCTCGTGATTTTGTCGACTAGACTGATATTTCCTGTTTTTAAAATCACATTTCTTCTTCCTTACATAACTGAATAAAAAAAACCCTCCTCATTCTCAATCCATTAATAAACTAAAATAAAAAAATAACCAATAAACAGAAAACAAAACCTTAGCTATTGTCTCGGACAGTTTAACTGGTGGTAAAGACACTGAGCTTTTCCCCGTCTTACCTGTAGAGAGAACGGCGATGAGGACGAACGCAACCTTCAGACCATCACGTAGTTCAGACGCCATCGGTAGACCCTGCGTTAGAAACACAGGTACAATTAAAGAAGAGCACGGAGTATGTTCAGCCACAGGAGAAGACTCTGGGGTTTGTAAGAATTATCTTCTCGTCTTCTATCTTCTTCTAGTGAATCATCTTGTGCGACCAAGAGTGGTGTTAGCAGCTCAACCACACTACATGGGTTACTGTGTTGTCATCATAAAACAGGAAGCACAGAACCACAGAGCAGACACGACCAGACGAGGACAGAGAAAGACGACATCAGAGATTGGACCATGGAGGACTGGGGCTCAGCAGGATATTAATAACTGGAGTCCGACACACCTGATACTCCAGACCGCTCTGAGACCTGGACCACAACATGAGACACGTGGAGTTGAACCAATAAACAGCATTAAAAACACCAGATGACAGAACGACAGTAAACAGACCCCCGTGCTCTGCAGTGAGACACTGCTACGAGCTGAGAGAAGACACATGAGTTCCATACGGACCAGTGTTGTGGTTCTCCAGGGAACCCAACTCAGAACCAGTGGAGGTAACATTAATCTGGAGGCCACACTTCCAGATTAATGTTACAGTCCTTTAACCAGCCAAGTCACAGCCAACAGTACAGACTCAAAACTGTATTCAGGGGCCACAGCCAACAGGGGTCTCTGGCAGGATGTCTGTGAGGTCTGCCGAGGTACTGCAGGAGGTTTCTAACATTTTTGTTCCATTTGAAAATTGTTTATAATTTCCCTCCATTTTTGTCTTAAAATAATGAAGATATCGTAACATAATATTTGCATTATTTCCATAGATAATTGTTGTAGGTTAAATATGAGGCATGCAGCACTGATAGGTATCCATTTAGACGTCATTAAATAACGTAATTTTCCTTTTTTAATATGATGCTGATGTTATAGAAATAATTCCCAGGGCCATACAGGTTTTTATCACATTTCTAATTACTACATTAACAAGTTTCACTTCATTCATTGTGAGGTTTGACTTGAAGTGGGTATTTAAAGTGAAACCTGAACTTCTTTCATATGACACCCTGTGGTTTTGACACTTCCCTTTGTTTATTTCATTTGAATTAAGTTAAACTGGTGTCTTGCACCCTGCAGTTCCCTGATCCTAAAAAGGGAAGGACTGATATTGATGCACAGCACACACCCAAACGTGACTTCTGCCTTGAACACTCATCTTCACTAAGATGAGTCCCCACACTCATCTTAGCGAGTGTGGGGACGGTGCTATGCTCACTGTACTACGATGTTATATACTACTGATGACAACACAACAATGACACAGCACACCACTGCACACAACAAACTGTGACTTTTGCATTTAACCCATCACCAAAGTAAACAGTGGGCAGCTTTTTGAGCCATGCTTAGTGCACCTCAGTGCTAACTTGGCTGGTGGACCTGAACCTGAAACCTTCCAGATCCAAGTCCGCTTCCTGTTAAGGCCCACTGTCTGTTGCTGTTGACGTTAGCACAGAAATAATTAACACTATAAACAAATTTAGGGTTCAATTTATGTGTTATAATGATAGAATTATTTATTATATCATTCAATCAAATTAAAAATAAAAATTATAAATTCTGTAATTATATTTATCCTACCTCCATTTTAACTTAAAATTAGCAATCGGCTACGGTTCATAGGAAACAATACTTAGCAGGTTCTCACACTCAGGTAACTTTAATATATTTCCACTCTAAATGTATTCATAAATAATATTGTTGTTCATACTCGACCTGTGAAGCTGATTGCACCAGCGTACACACCTGGAGCTGCAATCAGTTCTTAGCTTCATGGTCCTAGCGTGTACTGTGTTTGCAGCGCTAGCATGTAGCCCACAAGAAACCAAGGCACTCAGGGCAGAGAGGAGTTGTTAAAGAAGTATTTCGTATTAGCATTTACGAGTATTTTCCTTCTATAGCTATAAGTATTGACTCTGTTTTCACATCGGTCTGCGTCAGCCTTTTATTGGTTTTGGCCTTTTCTTTTCCTCTTTCTGTTATCTACAAACTGCCTCCTCAGCGCCACCTCCCTCTGCTGTCTGCTGTTTGACCTGGGCTTTGTCATTTCGCGCTCATGACAGCGTACGTTCTTATCGCACGACAGAGACGTGACATTGTTCCATAATCAGGGGCCAAGCAAATAGTCCCCTTGTTAAATAAATGTTTTGAATACGGTGTCACCGGCCCTGGTGGTCCTCAACCCAGACCAGTCTGACAGGAACAGGGTTTGACAGACCCTGAAGATCCTGGTCAGGTATAAATCCAGTTTCTGACTGAAGTAAACAGAGGCTTTAGGAGTGTAGTAGAAATATATGTTTTTTTAATGAATCTGTAAGTCATTGGAACTGACAGTAACAATATCAGCAGGTAGATGTCAGTGTTTTTCACTGTGACTAATGAAAATGATGGAGTTGTTGTATGGAAAAATATCCATAAAACGTGACTAATGAAAATGATGGAATTGTTGTATGGAAAAATATCCATAAAACATGTCCAACAGTCTCAGTGAAAATGTCTCTTCGTTTGATGGTGTTGATCAGTCTACAGTCCTGAACAATCCACCTGACTGTGGTGTCAGTCAGACTGTCAGTTGTCCTGATCTCAGTCAGGCTGCTCTGCATTAATGATGGAAACTTTTTCATCTGATTCATTTCACAAACTAATTCACGTGTTAGTTTTGAGCCCCACTGTTTAGAACTGTGTCATTATTTATATTTTTGCACTGTGTTATATAACCATGTCAGGTCTGTGGCTGCTGTGGTGGTGATACAGTCTTAATAAAGAGAAAAGCCAAAGTAAATCCCCTGTTGGCAGAGTAGCAGTAGTATCAGTAGTAGTATTAGTATTCGTAGTATTAGTGGTATCCCAGTTCTCGGCTCCTTTCTTGGCTCTGATCTCTGCTGAGCCCTCAGGGCTTCAGCAGCACCAGGATCTACAGCCTCTCTGCAGCTCTCCCATCGATCTCTCCTGAACTCTCTGCTCTGCATTCTCTGCTCATCAGCACAATAGGACTTTAGTCCAAGACTGTAATGAGAAAAACCCATTTAGTCTTACAGCACATCCTTCATTCTGTTCTGAACCAGAGCCTGAACTGAACACAGACGTCCTTACAGCACATCCTTCATTCTGCTCTGAACCAGAGCCTGAACTGAACACACACGGTACCAGGGTCGTGCACACGGACAGACCGGGCTTCAGGACACATTTAAACATACTGGACTGGGCTTCAGGACACATTTAAACATACTGACATAATATGAATAAAGAGATTAACACACGCATTGGGATTGACCTCTGACCTCTGCAGTCCAGTTAAGGTACAGTATCAGATGTTTAGTCTTCAACTTTACGTGATCACTGATGCAGCAGCCTACGCCTCAGAGAGTGACCGCCGTGGCCACGCCCACAGGAGTCACAGACGACGCCTCAGTTCTTCACACGTCCTGAATGGACCCAGTGTCAGTGGCAAACACATCTGTGTCCACAGACAGACGGGAACGCTCTCACATCGTCGACAACAAACGTCAATACAACGGCAACATGGACGTCCACGTGACCCTGACTGAGTCTCAGTAAGAGAGGACGGACTTGGCAGCCTGGAAAGTTTTTAATATTCCTTGAGCAGTTTACAACAAAGGTGTTTGTCTTCAGAGAGAAGTTTTAAACATTTCTTGTTCACTTCACAGAAATAGAACCATGTGCATAAAAATATGCAGTATCAGGTGAGTATTACACAGATACTTCATTAAGAAATTGTACTTCATACTATTCAATATTCTAGTCTGTCGTGTATCAAAGGCCACAGTTTTCTTTTTTAGAGTTCACAATTTATCTCCTCACTTCACACCATTTTTATCTTCCTGTGGTTTAAAAGCTGAGTAGTTCAAGACATGTAAATCTCCCCTCCCTTCCTCCCTCACCTCACCTCACCCACCCTTTCACCCACACCATTGTTCCCACAGAGCACCCAGGCAGTAATTCAGTACAAGAATTTGCCGTTCTCTGGTACATCGTCAGCTTGACTCGCAGCGGACTGTGGGTTTTTTTTTTTCACTCTTAAAATTAGCCTGTGATGTAGCATGCATGCTAATATGTAGAATGTTAGAACAAGAATTACTGTGTGTGTGTGTCAATAAAGTCACATCCTTGTGTTTTCCTGTCAATCATCATCTCTGTTAGCAACAGTCATTGTCCAGTACCATCATCTCTGACAGCTAGGACCACTCTTTACAAATGACATTTAGTCATTCACTTTAGTCATCACTGTAACTTGTCGTTAACGTGTCATGTGTTAGCCACTGCTGATGACATCACAGAACATGAATACCAACTGTATCTCAGTCTGTGCCGACGGTCTGTGGGCCGCAGACGAACCACCAAAGAATGTGCCGGGAACAGACCAAAGCTGCTCTTTGTGTCAGCCTTTAGAGCTGGAGCGACAGCGAGAGTGAATGAGGGTCAAAGGTCACACGCTAACACCCAGGCTTTCTAAACCAAAGCTTTAAAACACCCACAGATACACAAACAAGAACACACTTCATATGAACGACAGTGAAGAAGTGACTTGTCAAAGACAGATGTACGTTATCACAGTTATTCATTTGTCTGGTTTAAAGCTACAAAAAAATGTGCACTGCACTCCCTAAAGTCACCAACAGTCCTGAGGTGAAAGAAAAAGAAGAAGTCAACATCCTCAGTCCTAAAACCAGGCGTTTATCAACAACATTTTCACTGTGGGAAAATGCATCACGTGTTGATAAAGGCGCTGATGTGAGACGAGTCTGAAGACACAACATCGTCAGTGTCTAGAGCTTTGAACCAGACTTGAACGCATCGTGGTTTACGGTCTCACAACAAACTCATCACGAGAGTGGCAGCACGAGACAAACGAAAGTTTATATAGTCATTCTAGGAGTTTGGTTATCTGTCAGGGAACACCACACACACACACACACACACAGAAACAACACTGGAGATCAAGTCCAAACAACTGAAGACCCCTGGACTAATGTTGCTCATGTGGAATGCACCCTGGGCTACATTTGTATGAGGGCCATGCATTCTTTGCAAAAGCACCATAGAGATGTAGTGCACACACACACACACACTGGATGTGTGTGTGTGCTCCTTTATCTGCTCCTGATTGTCCTTCCTTTGGATACAGGAGGAGCAGGTGGAGCCTGAGATTGTTCCACCGGGGCTATGAATAAATCAATAAAACATACACACACACACACACATATACACGCATACTGACAAAGGCCAGACTATAATGAGGCCTAACACCTCCCCACCCCCTTGCACCCTCTACTCTTATATATGGTGACTACATTTATTCTGCCATCAGGGGCTTTTTCTCCCTCGTTTGAAAACACCCACCGACCAAACACAGAGACGAGACTTTCAGTCACATTTCCACCGCGTGGTTTGAATGATGGTAGGTGTTCAAGTAATTCGGTCGACTTCCCGTTCATAATACGGTCACAAACTTTTCAAGACATTTTCACACCTTTGTGCACCATATGTATGTGAGTGGGGTGTTTTGATTGCGTTTGGTTGGAGTAAAGAAACCACACGCCTATAGCTGGAAGCAGTGTGTCACTGTTCTGTACTGTTCTATAGCTGGAAGCAGTGTGTCTGTTCTGCTAATCTGAATCTGAACTGTGGTTTGACACCATGAGTGACACTGGAACAGCAGCGACAGTAACATTAACACTTTGTTTATATTAAACTACACATAGAAACAATTGGTGATCTGCTGAGAGCACGCTAATATTTAGCGATAAATTCGTTAAATCGCATTTGTCTTCAATAAGGCTGGATTATTATCACATCCAGACATTAGTAAAATAATGTGAAAAAAACTATTAAATTGTACAATAACGAACATTTTTTTTGTGACTGGCGTTATCGCTTGTCTCGACCAACAAGGCCATTTGCGTTGGGGCTAGGCCTGCTGCAGCTCTCACATGAACAGAAAAGTACAGAAAGGTACTGATTAATAACAGAGTTATTACTAAGAGCTGAAATTCCCCATCAGCATAGTACTGAAGAATATACTTTTACTAATACTTTTTGGGCTACGATCCAGAAAAAGGACATTTTTATGGCCCGACTGAATACAGGCCAATTCTCAGGGCAATTTGTTTTTCTAGAGCAGACAAAGAGACAGGTACCTTAATGTTGTACATTCATCTGAGTTTACATTATAAATAAATATTTAAATGTTACTGTTTAAAAAGTAAAAACTGCTGTAAAAAATAACTTTTGTTGATTAATATATATGTTAAAATAAATGTTATTTTCATTTTTCGTGATAGCATTACACTGGCTGGGAATTTCCATTTTTGAATTTTGCATAACAAAGTGACTACTTGAAAATCATGAGACACATTCAACATCGTTTGCCGGCACTGGTCTTAACGTATTGTACGAACTTTTTTTTTTTCTGCCTGTTCTTTTACTGTGTTTTTTTGTTTTGTTTTTATGTACTTGGTTCTTTTTTTATCTTAAATGTAAATTAATTGAGATGTTTTAAAAATGTCTAGTGTAAATGATATTCGCGGAGTTTCGTTAGACACCAACGTATTTTTAACGTTTAAAAAAACGTATCTTACCTTGACGGTTTTATATCGATGCTGAGTCCAATTCGTCGCAGACTCGGACCACAGGAGAGGGGGGAGGAATCAACTTTACTGCCCTTCCACCTGCTCGCCTCTCTTTGGCTCCTGGTCCGCAGCCTTCGGAACACTTTAAACGTTTGGAGATGTTGTTAAAGTGGCGGAAAAAGCACACAAACACGCTCAGCAGACCGACACTCGGGGCTAAAGCGTGGACCGAAGACAAACGAACACAGTCCTCAGCCAACCAAGATATTGTCAGTGGGAGCGAGGTGCGAAGAGCAGCCACTGGATAAAGTCCGTGACTGAGGATCAGAGCACTTCCGCTACAGACCCTTCACAATAAATGAACCGCAAGAACTACAGCTATTTTCCCTTCACTTGATGATTGATTTGGAAAGATTGTAAAGAAGAAGAATATTCTGAAATATATATTATTTTAACAGATGTGAATAAAAGTATTTTTTTAAATCACCCCGCCCTTTAATGTGTAAAAAAAGTGTGTGGAAAAAAAAACTTGTTGATGTTAATTGAGTAATGCATTACTGCGGTTAATTTGACTTAGTTATTTTATATAATAACAATAACAATAACAATAATAATAATAAATTCCTAAACAACCCTGTCTCTGGCATTCAACACCCTCCTCTGACGTATTTTGAGAACTGTTTCCTGGTACTGTTGTTTAACTTGACAGCTGTCAACACAGAAGCAGACAGACAGTCAGTCAGGGACTTACCCAGAGACTTAAACAGTTATTTAATGAAAACAAAACTTCCCACTCCTTCTATTGAGTCACAAGAGAATTGTTTTTATAACAAACTACAAACAATCACCGTGTTTTCAGTTCAGTTCCTAAAAGCCCAAAAAACATTTGTTATGATTTCTGGATGAGGAAACGCTGTGATCGCTTCACCTGTGGAGTTCGTGAGGTTCGATTTCCTTTCGCTCGTCTTTGAACAGTCACATCCAGAAGTGTTGGTGTTCTGTTCCGTACGACCACAGACAGCTGGCAGGCTTTCAGGGAGCCTGTAACCACAGACCATAGACTCTGAAGTCTGTGGTGAACAAGAGAATCGTTTACTACCTGAAACAAACCAAACTATCGTCAACACCTGGTGTGACGTTCAAGGCCTACTCTGGACACTGAGGGGCCGAGCAGTCACGTGATATGATATTATAAAAAATAAATAAATAAAAATGAGTCAACGTTTATGCAAAACTTGAGCAGTTATAGTGCATACTACTTCATCCAGTGTGTGTTTGTTTGAATCCCTTTGTTTCAGTGAAATAAAAAGTAACTCAGTGTCACACCCAGAGCAGGTCAATATTTAAACAGCAGTTTTTTTTAAATTATTTGATGTCTTTGTCCTCTGACAGTTAAAGTCTGTTGGACCTCAACTGGAAAGAACTGGGCACAAATATTTGCCCTTGTATTCTCTTGGTACTGTAGTACACGTAGTACAGAGTGACCTGTGTAGTCAAAATAAAGAACTCTCTGTCTCAGTGTGGACAGGTGTGCACACACACACACACACACACACACACACAGGTCTCATTCAGTCAACTTCCTAAAAACTATTTCCATTTTTTCCCCTCTAACCTCACACCGCAGCCTGAGGAATATTAAAATATAAATGAATACAATTGCATTTCATTAATTTAATACGACTCTTCCACCGTGTGACCAGCAATAAAATAATAATTTATCATCGTTATTATTTATTTATTTATTTATTCTTATTAGGTGTACGGGTTTTTTTGTTTTGATAATTATAACAATGAGACTTCTTCTAAAATAACAATGATAACAATTCTATCAGAATTTGATACACGACAGAATTCCGTCAGGTACGACTGTGGTGGAGCTGCACCACTGTCTGCATAACAGGAAGTACAACAGTGTGTGTAAAAAAGAAGGAACGTGTGTACGGTTACAGTACAAAGTTCCCACCAAGTATACTCTGTGTAGTATACACCGTCAGCCCATACTGTGTGTACTACTCTATAGATGTACTACTGATAAAATCCATTTGTTAGAAACAACCTACTACTACTACTACTACTACTAACAATACTATTAATAGACAGGGACTTGTAAATCACATACACTCACTCATACACACAGATGGCCTGTCAACATCACAGCGGGGTCCACAAGCTGGTCATTAGAGGTCGCAGTTGTCACCATGGCAACGAGGCCCCGCAAACCATGTGTGTGTGGTTTATGGCCCGTGTGTAATGAAGGTTTAACAATTCTTTAATGATTTATGGAGACAGACGTGTGTGTGTGTGTGTGTGTGTAGAGGTGTTTAGCAGACACACAAACGCACACGTCATTGTGTAGCTTTCAAGTTCATCTAGTAAATACTAGAGTTTGAATTTTACTGCCTTTTCTAAATGGACAGGTTTTAGCACCCTTTCAGTTTTCGAGGCGAATCTTTAGGGATTTACTGGCTAACGTGAGAGAGAGTGTGTGATCAATAAAATTCAATCTGAAGTTTGATTTATGTATAAACAAAAAACTTCAATATTCTTTTTTTTCAATCTAGAGAACGTTTTGTCCTGCGCTTTTATAACCAAACACACGGCTCAGCCTGGACACCGGAAGATAAAACTCTAATCAGCAAATTGATCTGTGTATCGATTACAACTCGTAAATGAATAATTATTCTGCTTTAATCCAGTTTTAGTGGAGTCGCTCCACAGTGTCATCACTCTGCCGCCGCTGCTGCCTCGGTTTTTCACCTAGCGCAGAAATGTGAGCGTGCACGGACATGTCAGGCAGACAGGCACAGACGCAGCTCCGACTGTTGTCTGATTGTACAAGATTACACACTTTCTACCCAACCAGAATATCCTGATCTCCTTTCCTTCTTTTCTGCCTCACTGACTCACCCTCTGCACAGACTTTCTTTTTACCAACCAGTGGTATCTGCCCACACCTTGACTTCCGTGCCCCACCTCCAGGTGAAGCCACGTGTTCGTGCCCGTTGGCTACAGTCGGAGGATGTTGTTCTGTCAAGCTGAGCGTAGTCAGCCAGTGGAGGCTACTGTTTGAATAAAAGAGCCCAACATGAAACAGTGGTCAGGAAAGTAGAGTGAGTGTCAGTCGGAAAGTTCTCAGACAGGTATTATTAGTGACAAAAACCAGTTCAGACTGGTATCTGGGTCTCCAACAGCTGGGACCAGTGAGCCAAAACTAAAACCCACAGTAAAAGAACAGGCAGGAAACAATGGTTTGTCTGATGGCAGCTGTGACACTCCAGCGCCCCCTGTCACCACGACTGCTCCCCATGTTTTATAAAGCAACAAAAAATAAAACAAAAAATACATGATATAAACCATGATATATATTTATTTTGTTGAAGGACCAGTGACAATAAACATTACTTCAACTAAAGTGAACACAGAGAAGAGAAGACAAGGAAGACAGGTCACTTTGAGACAATGCTAATAAACAAAGAGCTAATGTAAAGACAGGGAATAATGCCACCTCGTGGTAGATAGATAAATCAGAGTTTATTTACAGTCATGTAAATGTACATTTGATTGAAGGGTACTACATACGTATACTGAGGCTACAGTCTAGCACACAGTATCAGAGGAGACAGACACACACAGATACAGGTCTGGTTTGTCTCTCTCCAGTAGAAGACTCGTGGCACTGGTCCTGGGTCAGCCTCTAGCATCACTTCCCGTTCCGAGGGGAGAGGACAGGAGAAACCGAGCAGATGAAAGTAAAAGAGGATAGTAATAAAGGCAGTACTTCAACAAAATACCCAAATATTTCCACTGCTTCCAGCAGAGATCAAAGCCCTGTGGCTCTAACTGGACCAACACCTTCATCAGAATCAGGAGAACGTTTACGAGATCGTAGCCACAGCTGGTCGGGGCGGAGGGTTAGGACGTTCGACACCCCGTGTGCGTCACTGTCACTACTTAAGATACTTTCACACTGCCAGGTGGCGCTGCCCGCACCGGAGCGGACGCACTAGCTTTCGTCTGCCTGGAGCATCTTCTCGATCTCCTGGTCCCACTGCTCGTCTCTGCTGCCGGGGTCGGTCACCATCTCGTACTCCTGGAGCTCCTGCTGCAGCTCCTTCTCCCAGTCTGCAGACTCATCTGGAGGTAAACACCACAGTATTTAGTACCGAAGTACTGAACATGTATTCTCAAATGTCCATGTCTAAAAGCACGGGAACTTATTAGCGAGCGGACAAATCCGTCGTCACGGGGCACTATATGCTGAACATGGCGTTGTTTAGATTTGCTGGTTGTACTCCATACATTGGATTTTGCTGCATTTACTGTCATTTGTTTGTGTTGTTTTTTGGAAACACCTGCATTTACTGTAATTTGTTTGTGTTGTTTTTTGGAAACATTTTGCCCTTCATTATGGCTCTCAGACGTAAGTCAGACTCCTCTGGTGTTTTCATTTTTTAGACTTTTTTTTAGATACGTCGCACAGTGAGAACAGAACTCCAGATTACTTTGACTTACCCACTGTATATTTATATTTTATATATATATATAAATATATATATTTATATTAATCTTTGCAAATTAGCTAAATTTTAACAAATATAAAATATATCGATCAGCCACACAAGCACATTTTTCACAAAGAAATCAGGTCCTCTGAGAGTTTACCATCAGGGGATGGACTGCTGTCCTTGGTCAGTACCAGCTGCTCCATCTCTTTCCTCAGGTCATCTTGGTCGATGGCCGCTGAATCGAAAGCGTCACTCACAAACTCTGACACTCCAGGACTGGTGGAGATCTCGTCCAGCTCCTCCTGAGGTGGTGATGAAGTGCAGACAGGAATAAAAAGGTTATTTTGACTCACTCCCTAACCTGGGCTAAGACTGACTACTGAGACACTGGTACCGATTGTTGTTGGCTGGAGGCTCAACTCTCAGCTCTATTTGTTGCCTGTGTTCTACTGTTCATCTGAAATGTCATATTGCTCAGCCAATCAGATTGCAGATTCTATGACAGATGTGGGCAAACTTTTTGACCCGCAGGCCACAATTGTCCTTAAATTAAACAGGGAGGCGGGGTCAGGAGCAGATTGGATGGATCACGTGAACTAAGACAAATGACATAAAGTCATGCATAAAGGAGAAAATGTTTTTATCATTTCTATGCCATCTACTGGGGAAACGTGTGTATTGCAGGGAAAAGGCAAAAGTATAATGCTTGTAAATAGAATATAGAATATAAATAAATTATATAATTTGGAGAAGTTTGGCAGGCTGGATTAAAAGCATCTGGCCCCCGGGCCTTAGTTTGCCCATGCCTGTTCTAGGGTCACAGAAGACGGATCAGAAACACTGACCTTCTTTATGTCAGAAGATGGATCAGAAACACTGACCTTCTTTATGTTGCTGATGGAAACAGGAGGAGTCTTTGGTCTGACACTGTCTGGAGGAAAACAAACAATAAAAGAGCAAATTTAGACTCTGATCACTGATGATCAGTAATCAATGGTCAGCACTGGTTACCAAATTTGGTGATTATAAATAATTATTAAAATAATATATCTACACACATATACACACCTCCATGTACATATATCTACATAAATATATGCATATATTAAGACATACACTGTCCACATCACAATAAACAGATTTCTAAACAAGTGTCAGTGCATGGTGCTGATTCAGGGTTCATGTAGAAGGCGCTGTTTAAACCTAGGCTTGTACTGTAATTGAATTCTTAATGACAGCAGACAGATGGCGCTGTGTAAAAATGGATTCAAAACAGACTGAGGAACTGCTTTAAAAGAACGTATTTCTGTTTTTTATTTGGAGCAGACAGTTCTATTCTGTTCCACACAGATCTACCTCAGGCCTTGGTTTACAGTAACAATACTGACCTAGACTCACTCACAGACTCCAGTCTCACCTGTCAACACGATGTCCTGAGGTGAGACACCGGACCCCCGCTCCTCACCCTCCTTCTGCTGCTGAGCAGCCAGTGCCGTGAGCTGAGCCGACTGCTTGATCAGTGACACTCGGTAAAAATAGTTCCTCCAGAACGCCTCCTCCTTCACACTGTCGGCAGACAAAAGGCTGTCAATCACACACACTCGTGATCCTGGTGCAGCACTGATTGGTCTTAAGGCGGAGTGAAATTATTATTATGTAGAAACAAATACAAATGAATATAAGTTGATTTGTCTCTTCTGTCTCACCTTTGACCTTTCCCTATTTTAAGAGAATCTACAAGACTTTTATTTTGACTTCACTGATTTTTGTATTTGGGCCACATTGCACTAATTTTTAAAAATAAAACAACTTTACACTATCAATCAATATAACACAAATAATAATAATATATATATATATATACACACACACACACATAAATCCATAAAACCAATGAGGACTAGTGTCACCGACAGAATACACACAGATGTACTGGACTAAAACACACACACACACCCATACTGGCTACCCACAGTTTGGGCACGAGGTCGAAGCGCATGCGGTTGAGGAGTTGGTCCTCCTCCAGCATCACTGCAGCCAGAGGATACATCTGCTCCATGTCAAAGTGGAAGTGCACTCCAGCAGGAGGGTCGCGCAAGAAGTTCCTCTTGTCCTACGGAGGGCAGTCAAGAGTCGTGGGATTTAGATGGTTGACATCAAACAAAGCTCAAACAAGTGTGTGTGTGTGTGTCTCACAGCTGACAGAGCAAGGATCTGCTGCTGGATGGCCTCCTCCTCATTGTAGCCGACCCACGGAGGAACGGCTGCATCTATAACACGCGCACACACACAAGCAAACACACCCAGACATGTGAGTCAGGTACATAAACCCAGTTCCCACAATCTGCCGTGCGTCATCAAATATAATTGCGGTACATGTGACCACGGAAGCTAATAATACTAATACTAATGTTAGCGGACAACAGGAACTATCCTCGTGATGAACCGTCTATTTGTTTTCCTTTTCTCAACTGTTTACTTTTAGAAGCAGAGAACCAGAAGACGATCCTGCAGAGATTTTCTAACAGCAATAAATCCTTTTTTCGTTGTTTTATTCATTTATTCAAAGGAATTCATTCAGACTGGAATTTTAGCCTCTTCTCTACAAGCTGTCAAAGGAACAGCACTCCCCTGCGGCTGCCTGTGGTCCTGGCGGAACAGGTCCATCAGCCTGGCTGTCAGCCACAGTCCATGTGCACGCTATTTTTTTTTTTATTAATTAGAAAAAAAACCCACAGAGAGTTCACGCTCACAGTCACCGAAAACCCTAGTAGAGTGAAGTTCTCCCTCGAAGATCAAATCTCTGATCACACAACAGGATTAATGTTACTCTACTCATATGATGTGGAGAACTGGCCTAGCACACTGAGCTTCTTCCTGTCACAGTGAGAGCTATTGTCAGCTTTATTGTTGTTATCATTTATTTTTATCGTTATTATCTCACCAGATTTTTTTGCTTTCTTCTCTTGGACAAACCTCTCCTGCTCCTTCTGGAAGTCTCCTAGAAAGGTCTGGAAAACACATGGTCATCCATAAATAAGCAGAGCAACACAACTGACACACAACTGACATGCAAAAGACAATGTAACTGAGTTAACTAGGCTGGCATTTTCATCAACCTGGTTTGCTGGAGCACAAATGGTGCAATAGGTGAGGTCTTAAAAGAGTTTGGCGAGTTCAAGCAGAACAAGTCAGGTGGGTTAAAACAGGCATGCATCAGGTTGAGACTACTGCACTTACTGTGTGTGCCTGTACTCAGGTGTATAATCATTTCTGTGCACAGAGTTACTAGTTCTAGAACATGACATAACAACATCCATCTAGGACCTGTATATCAGCTAGTGACATCACTGGTTGTAAGGATGTTACTGAGCAACACTGGTTTGTGTGTTTCTGTGAATCATATTTTATCTGATGTATTTAGTTCAGGGTCATTAGAAGCACAGCTGTTAGATTCAGGAGAGTGGACTAATAATAATGATAATAATAATCCAACAGTTAACAGTAATAAGCAGTTCTGTGACGTCATTCCAATGCCTCCACCACATCCACCATATGACTCCATCAAACTTGGAACCAATGGGATGAGTGTGACGTCACACCCACAAATAAATACAAACAATAGTTCACAGTCATATTCACAAATGTGGTCAACTGAGTGAACAACAAACACTGGTAAAAAAAGGGAGAACTCAGTACAGAAAGACCGGACATAGAACCAGCGCGCTTACATTGTCAATGATGCCGTCAATCTTTCCTTCTTCCACCGTCTTCTTGATGGTCTGAGCTGTTCCTACCACTGAGTCAGAAATCTTCTTGGTAGCACTGGAGGCAAAACTGTAGATGAAGTCTTCATGGGAAGGAAGAGGAGGAGGAGGACAAAGACGAGGACACCGGAGACAGGAGAAAAATGTGTAAATGAAACCACTATTCCAGCACAAACACACCTGCACAAGGAGCTGACGACGCCAGGAAGTTACAGGCAGAAAAACAGGGCCAATGACCGCCGTAAACAAAGGCAGGTGAACTGACGTCACATTCTTTCACATGTTGATTAAATAATTAGGTTGAACGGAGTTACTGTATGTCTAACGACCTCACAGAAACAACAGTCAGCTGGTAAAAACAAACGTTTTCTCACCGCCCAACCCTTTGTTCTGCTCGGGGTTTTCCATGTCGGCCTTTCCTGGGTCCTGTTCGGCTGTCTGCTGTTTGTTTACCTCGTTCTGAGCTTCCACCACCTTCTCTTCTTCATCCTGCTGTCCGCTCTCCACCGCCTCGCCTGACGTTTCCGTCGGCTTCTCCAAACCTAACCACGACCCCAAACCTTTAAACATGTCGGTCAAAATCGAGCTAAAATGATTTTATTTACAGACCACTGACGATTCGCAGCCTGTCGACAGCGATTAACGTCTGACTTCACACAAACAGGAAGTAAAGTCGCCAGAGTTTCTTCTTCGCTGATTCTTTTTAATCTTCTACGTTTTCATCAAACGTGTCGTCACAAGCGTTTCCTGCATAACTGCCACCTACTGGTCAGAAGCCAAAATCAAGATGTTATTTTCACGAGTTATATCTCTAGATTATATATATTTAGATATATAAGATAAGAATTAATTTAACTTTATTTTCATTGAAAACACACCCAGATTAAGTATTTTAACATGTAACTGGTAGTACTACCATATTAAAAAAACTGCATTATGCACGGGGTACAAAGAGCGTTCTTCACAGAAAATAAACCTTTGGATTTTATTATTGTTTTTAGTTAGTAGTTTAGGATATATTTCTCAGTAATCGTATTATTTCGTTGTATATTAAGTCCAATGTCACTGATAACAGTTACATTTCTTCTGTTCTTATTTGTCCTTGGACTGATGTCATTTTATCTCCTTCTTTGAATTATGTTTGAATTAAGTTCTATTTCCTTTAATGTGTCTTTTACAGCATTTACGTGAAAAACCTAACATTTACATTTGGTACCACTTAATTTATTATGTTTAATCAATTATCTATTTCTAATCACCGTTGACCGACCAGCTAGAATGGGGTTTATTTCATGCATATTCGCATAAAAAACAATTTAACGTCGTAATAAGCCGCTATGGCAGTCTGGTGTGGACGGCTTTGGGTAAACACTTATTTTTGTGGTTTCTGCTATGTAGTGGTTGTCAGGCGTAATAGCGCTTTTACGATTATGCACACAGAGAATCAGCCAACAGATGGCGGTATATTTTTTTACACTTTGTAACAAGAATTGGAGCGACGAAGAAGAAAACGAGGAAGCTGGACTGTGGATTCAGTCAGAGGTTAATTTTGTTTTATATCAGTTATATCTTCATATGGATGTAACTACAAAGGTCGTTCAACAAACCGAAAAGACGCGTTACAAATTCTAAAGATGTTTATTAACTGAGTTTGTTTAGCGGGGGGTGACGCTGTGAGATCTGTGCGCGTTCATGTAAAACCGGTGATCAGTGCGTCGTTTCACTTTACGTCCCAAGACCGCTCGGTCCCGGGATCATATATAGAACATATATATATGTTTTTTCGTTTAATTCAGGCTGTCAGTAGAATATAAAACCACTAAAGCGAAGCAACTAAACAGCACTATCAACTAAGTTCAGTCAGAGGAGCTGTCACACTGCAAACAGTGGAGTAGCAGAAACAATTCTATCAGTGACGCATGTAAAAAAATGCTGAAATTTTAATTAAAAGTAAATAAAAATATTGATTCAGCGATCTCAGGTCTGGGTCAAGTTCTGACGTTATAGTGATTTGCAAACCAATTGACACAGCAATATTTTGGAGATTATGAATTTTTTTTATAGCTCAGTTGCTGCTAACTTTAGCCTGAATGACGTCACTATGACTGTACATATTCAACTGTTCTAATTTGTACAAAAAATATAAGAAACATTTTTGTTCTTTCTTTAGGTGAAAAATGAAGACTCTGATGGTGTTTGATTTTGACCACACTGTGGTGGACGACAACAGCGATACCTGGGTGGTCAGGTACATACTGCATTCATTAAACAATAATAAAGTCATGGTGTATATACAACAATTACATAAATGTTGCTCATAAATACACATCACCTCAGAGTTTACCCAAACAGACAGCTGTACATTATATTTATAATATAAATATACCAATTTGCTGTGAATTAGTGTGTAGAGGGAACATGCCTGCCTTGCAAAAAGCAGAGAGTCCTGGGTTTGATTCCCAGAGAAACCACATATCCCTAGGTGGTCCAGTAAACTAGCTAATGTTGAGCTGGAATGAACCAATCACAGAATAGATACATCTTTAAGTCATTGGTTTCAAGCAAAACTTAGAAGAACAACACATTTGTTCACTCCAATTTAGGAGTCTTCAGAGTATTGTCCTTATTTTAGGTCATCTTTTCTCCCCCCCCCAGGTGCCTCCCAGACCAGGGCCTACCTGACTCTGTGAAGAACTCCTACAAGAAAGGTCAGTGGACGGAGTTCATGGGCAGAGTGATGACCTACATCGGTGAGTGTTGATCAAACACATGGCTTTAATATTTATACATCTACACCTGCTAACCAGCAGTCACCAGGTGAGGGCGGCGTCACAGCCTGGATGGCCCTGCGGTCCATCACAGGATCACATACAGACACTAACAACATCTGTTAGTTTAGAGTTGACAACCCAACGAACCACTTCACCTGAGTCATGTAATGTTTAAAAACATGTATTCCAGTGGTGTCAAACGTAAGGTCTGCGGGCCCAAACCGGTCCTCTAAGGGATTTAATCTAGCCCGCTTGATCAATTTTGAAAATAAAAAAAAATGTACAAAAATGTTATAAATAATATTTCATTAAATATGAATATTTTCTAATATACTTGTTCCCCTTTGCATGAAAACAAAACCATCTAATCTAAAAGGCTGTATGTGGACCCTGAACCAAAGTGAGTTTGATGCCCCTGATTAATAATTATTTGTGTGGTTTCAGGTGAGCAGGAAGTGAAGCCAGACACAGTCAGGAGCATCATGGAGACCATACCGTTCACTGCTGGAATGACAGAGCTGCTGAAATTCATATCAGAAAACAAAAGCAGCATCGACTGCATCATCATCTCCGACTCTAACACCATGTTCATAGACTGGATCCTCCGAGCAGCCGGGCTCCACAAGGCTGTGGACCAGGTCTTCACCAACCCGGCCAAGTTCAACGAGCAGGGCTACATGGAGGTGCAGAGGCACCACTCGCACAAATGCCATCAATGTCCAGTCAACCTCTGCAAAAAAAAGGTCCTGGAGCTCTACCTGTCAGAGTGCTCTGACGGAGGTGTGGAGTATCACAGGATATTTTACGTTGGAGACGGCGGCAACGACCTCTGCCCTACTTCCTGTCTGAGGCAGCATGATGTTGTGATGCCCAGGAAGGGCTACACCCTGGAGAAACTGCTGGTCAAACTCAGAGGTCGGGAAGACGACGCTGCTCACAGAGCTCGAGTCGTTGCCTGGAACAGTGGCACTGAAATCCTGCAGGAACTGAAAGCCGTCTTGTTGTAGTCCTGGTCACTATGGTAACCTGGTAACACAACAATCGGTCGACTACTGAAATCTGATTGTATTGTTGCTGCGATGCATCATTTTATTATATTTAAATTTGCATACGTTTTGATTGTGTTTTTGTTAATGCACATGTGTGTGTTTGTGTGTGTGTCTGGTCTTCCTGAAGTGAAACCTGAAGTGAAACCAAATAACTTCATATTTTTTTGAACCAGTTGTTCCAAAAGTGGGGTAAGGTGGCGCTCTAGAAGCAACAACAGGTAGCTCAGCGAAAAAAAAAGTAATTATTGTATCCTGTGAGAAACAATGAGGAAATTAATTTATTAGTAATTGCATTTCCTTTGTTCAATTAAGTAGTAGTTTAATAAAATGTAGTTTTTACGTTTTTGAGGCCATTGCTGTAACTCTGTATTTACAAAAGGGGGCGCTGCAGGACACGTTTAAGCAGTGTTGTGACCAGAGACTCTTTACATGAGCACAAATATAAACAACACCCTTAACCGATGACTCTGATTGTACATGGGTATCTGCCACCATGTGGCCGTCTTACTCACTGACACCAAAATTTAAAGGTTTGTAATGTGGATATTTTTTTAATAACCTATTAAATCAACCTCTGGTCTTCACATTTACTGTGTGAATCATTTCCAGTCATTTGTGCTGTGTCCTCCTTGTTGAGTGTTTTGGTTTTTGGACGCTGCCCTTGCCCCATGACTGCTTGGATATACTGTATATGACTCTAGCTCCCCCATGTGACCACCCATGAAAATGACACGTGCTTAATTTACCCTCCTTGTAAAAAGCTGATGTTTACATTTCCTTAAACATGAGAAATGGTTTGTTTACTGATTCTTTTTAATGATATGTAGATATGCCCCCCCAAAGCCTCCAGCAAATGTTGTTTTCATGCATTTCCTTTCTTTTTTGCTTGCCTTCACACCTAAATTTTAGATTTTCTTCCTTCTCTCCAGCTGTTGTTCCCCCTCCCCTCATCCCCCAACTCTACGTCCACCTTTGATAAACTCTATTCTACTGTGCCCACAGCAGTATTTCCTCAGTACTCTTGTTTAGTCACACACTGCATCACTGTAGTGTTTTCCACTAAATACTGGATAAAACGGAGAAGAACTCCATCATGTTTATGACCTCATATAGAAGTAAGATTTAGGTTTACTTATAGCTGGGAGTTAGTGGATTAATGGAATTACCCTCCCCTCTTTCCTCCCCCCTCTCCTCTTTCTATTCGCTCATGTCCTCCCCTACTCCCCTCTCCCTCCACCTCTCTTTTCATCCCATCTCCACTCATTTTCTCCCCCCCACCTCCTCCTCTCCTGTCATCTCCCCTTCTCTCTCCTCACTCCTGAACACACAGCTCTTGTCACTCTTGGCTGATTGCATGTCTTCCTCTCCTTTCACCCTCCCCTCAACCCCTCCCTCCCACCTCCACCCCCCACTCTCTCCTGAACACTCAGTTCTTGTCACTCTTGGCTGACTCCATGTCTTCCTCCAGAGTCAGTGTTACTCAGTTTTGGGTCGACTCCTGATCTAGTGCAGGTCAGAGAGGTGAAGAACCTGCTGAATGTAGACAAGTGCCTCAGCTGGCTGGAGTTCTGCCTGTTCTCCTGTGAGCTTCTGCAGATAAAGAAGCCTTCAGGCGTCTGAGCGCCAGGTCAGAGCTCTGCACCGCTCTCTCTCTCTCTCCACTCAGAACCCAAACTCAGGAAACACACAGTAGAAAGACTGTGTTGTTGTGACATCACTTCAGTGTTTTAGGAACATTTAGTAATGAGGCTGACAGCCACGCTGCTCTAATCTAAAAGGTGTCATTGTTAACGTTTACTTTAATCCTTGGAAAACGTTATTGAATAAGTTCCTGAGAAACGGAGTGACTCTGAACAGGTGACTTTCAACAACCTTCAGAGTTCTGTGTCCCTGACTCGACCAGCCCTTCAACAGAACCAGGCCCTGGTATATGTACTGCCTCAAAGGCCTTTTTGTGACTCAGGTCTCAAAAGTTAAATATCTCTTTTATTGTGCAATAAAATTTCCTGTCATGCAACAATTTTCAAGGACTTTTTTTTAAAGATATTTTATGGCCATAGTTATCTGACCCTGGTGAGGACGCCTTGTGACACACACACAGACACACACACACACACGGAGAGAGGGTAGGAGAGAGCGAAGGAGAAAACAACAAATTTGTAAAAACTGGATGAATTGCAGATTAAGTGGTAGAAAAACACCCTACCATTTATTTCAGTATCCACCAGTCTGTTGCAGCCCAACATTTGACCCTCCCCTCCATTAAACTGTTCTGACATTTAGGCCTTCATATTAAAAATTCATATTGCATATGAACTAATATGCCACCAGAACACCACATTTATCTGCCAACAATACTGAACCTCAACAATGAGTAGATTCTATAACGTAACTAGTGTGACATCAAATACTGTATCTGCAATGAAGTAAACAATATCAGCAAGTATGTAGTTTCGGGGAGTATTTGAAGTTGTTACAGGAGTACTTCTTTTATCAACCTCTCAAATTCATATTCAAAAACACACACACACACACAAACAGAACCAGTCTGCTCCTGTCTGTGCAGCCTGCAGAGTGAGTGATGTGCCCGACAGCAGTCTTTAACCAGTAGGGGGCGAGCCTACTTTCACTTAAGGCTTTGACCCACACACAGTGAGAAATGTGTCTGCCTTAGCAGCATGACGTAGAGGAGGATTGAACGAGGTGTGGTGGTCCTGCTGGGCTGTGTTTACGTCACTGCTGTAAAATGACCTTCCTACTGAGGGGTGGGAGATGTGACTCCTGCCTTTCACTAATACTGGGGCAACATCAGCTACCTGCAAATATGGTGTTTATACTGTATGTCAGGGTCTGGGATTAGGACACGGCATCATATACACTGACAAAGGCAAAGCCACCACTGGGTCTGTGCCCAATGGGTGACCTGATTTTACAGATCCAAATACTACAGCACTGCACCAGCTGGGTTCTGTACGTGTATGCAGAAAGGGACTTTTTTTTTTTTTTTAATATCTTTTGCCTCCAAGCGGAAGTGTTTCTAACATTAGCTACAACAGTCCTGTTAGTGACAGCAGTGCTAACGTAATTTGAAGACTGTTTTTATTGTGTCAAATATTGACCTACAAATTAAAATTACAAAGCCTCGAGGTAATTTGATTAAGTGTGTAATAGTGTGTCTTACAGAGTCTGTCAGAGAAACAACATCTGATTCAGGACAGTGAAACACCAGTGATCGGAAGTCAACCATTTATTGCTATGGATAAAATATGCAGCTAAATAACCTGTGCATGAGAATTCTTTTAAATTGTGCCCAGAAACCGGCCTGAAACTCAACCTGTTAAAATACCTTTTTAAAATAATTATTGTTGTACTTGTTGACATTTTTGAGCAGATCCAAATCTCCTCTACTGCAGTAAACTGAAGGCTCTGTACCAGGCTTTCATAACTCTGTTCTTATTAAATGTTTGCTTCCCTCTGCAGCAATGCCTTCTCAGCGAAATAACAAAAATTACGGCTGTTGACTGCCAGCAGATGGCAGTGTTGCTCCAGGTTAAGTCTGTGAAACGGTCTTGCGGGGAGGATGGTGTGTGTCCTCATCCTCTGTGTTTTTTTTCCTCAGGTTTTGAAACCAAATTCAGAAGAGGTTTTTTTCTCCTTTGACAAGCAAGGACAGAAACGGTACTAAAACCGAGTGAAGGACCTGACGGAGACCAAAGACTTCCTGAATGACAGTAGGATTCGACCCAGAAAATGCTCGCCCTTTATCAGTTCGGTGGTGGATTGTTAAAAACCCATCTTTACTGCCTCCATTTGCTGAATGCATTTGTTTAAACCTCCATTTAAACGCTGACAACTGAGCTGAATCCGGCATGGACATGAGCTGCCCTTGAGCAAGGCTCCTTAACCCTGAGCTGCTGCCATTAATACATCAGTGGGGAACATCACCGAGGGTTTGATCATAATGGTGACAAGTGGCAGAGTACTAAAGCCCTGCTGCCCTGACAACGACACTGATGAATCCTCGGTCTGTAAAAAGTTCTGGTGACTAAGTAAAATTTTATATTTTCAGCGTGTGACCTCTTCACTAGATCTTTATCTGGTGTTTATCGACCACTGGCTCAAGAAGATGAAAGGGCGGTGTGCAGCGTGCATCAGCAGATAAGATTTGTGGCATTGCAGTAACAGCCAGCTGTAAACAGAGGTTGGTGAAGGGTAAACACTGTTTAATGTCATAAAGAGGAAAATGAATTAAAGAGAAACACGAACAGCCAAAAGGCTCGCCTCCTTTTTTTTTTTTCTCCCACTCCGTCTCTCCTCTTGTCAAAGCCGTGCTCGACGCCCTGATCTTTTTTGTTTTCGCCCACTTAAAGCTGATAATGAAATGTATGCGCTGGGTGAAGCAGGCGATTAATCAGAGCAGATGTGTATCTAGGTGAGTGCCAGATCAAGTCTCCGGAGCAGAGCCGCCTGACGGCTCAGACTCCACACTGGCTGAAGCAGAGCTCTCGTACGCTCTCACCTCTTTGCTGTCACTGCCAGCAAATTTGCCAGCCAGCCTTATTACAATTAATTAGCCAGTGTGGGAATGTCCTCACACTTCAGCAGCGATCGTGTCTCATCTCAGTCAGTGGAAAGGCGGCTGGTGGCCTGATGTCACATCTGCTCTTCCATAAAGTTGGGATGAGAACTCACATGAGCAGCAGTGGTGGTTTTTTCCCCATTTCTTTTTCTTCCTTAAAGAAAGATGTCAGTTATTAACCTGATGGTTTGAACTGCTGTTTTACACAAATGCTCACAGCCCTATGACTCACAGTACTGGGCAGAAGTTTTGTGGAGTGAGTGTATATACTGAGAAAAGTAAAATTTGGTTCTCCAGGTCTGGAGTCTGGGATGCTGTTTCAGTGTCACAGAAATGACGGGAGGATTCCTGCCTGCCATTTGGAAGGTTCTGGGTTCAAATCCATCTAGTCGCTGATCCTGGGTTGGACGGCGTTGTATTTCATGTATGGGATGAGCATCTGCCAACCACCATGGTGACCTCTGCTGTGGTGACCCCTGATGTGATGTGATGTGTCACCTGGGTGCTGCCAACAAAGATAGGGGGCAGTATAAATGTTCAAGATTCAAGTTTCACTCAACAGTCACCTGTGTGCTGCCAACAAAGATAGGGGGCAGTAGTGGCTTGCTGGTTAAAGAAGCAGACTCTGGAGGGTTTCAGGTTTGAGTTCACCAGTTACCACTAAGGTGCTCTGAGCATGGCACCGTCCCCACACACTGCTCCTTTGGTGCTTATACTGCCCCCTGCTGGCTTGGGCGATCGGTTAAAAACCAGAGGTCACATTTGGTTGTGTGCTGTGTCACAATGACAAGTTCACTTTCACTTTCTTCGTGGACAATGTTAGGCTGGTAAACTAGCCCTCTGCTATCGCTAAGTGACATAGTTGTTGCCATGCGGCCCCTCTGGGGGACCACAACCCAGATATTATCTTTACAAGAAAATTAAATTCAGTGACTTCTGCATTAAATCAACCCCCAGCAGTTTAATGTTGTTAAAAAAAAAGAAATGTTACAATAATAAGGCTGTCCACATCAAAATGTTTAGGTCTGACTAAACTCATTGTACTTAAAATGTGACATACATTATGTTTATTCCTGTTATTATGATTTCATTTCACTACTTGCCACCAGATAATTAGCGAGCAGCCTGTGCAGCGACAGCGCCCTGGTGCTAAGTATTGCTGCTAGACACGCCTGGGTTTAACACACAGTGTTGACTGTAAATAGAAAAAAAACAAATG